CGGCGGGCAGAGCCGCATGCTGGCTAGGCCTGGTACGAGGAGTGTCGGCCGAAGGTACCAACGGAGAGGAACCGCGCCCGCCCTCTTCGGCTGCATGGGGATGGGTGGGGGCGGCGGTACTGCTGCTGACCCTGCTGAGCTGGCTCATCAAGGCAGGTACGGAGCGGCTGGCGCGCCTGCGCTGGAGAGGAACGGGGGGCGCAGCTGTCATCCCGGCGGACGCTGAGCAACCAGGCTCCAACAAGTACGAGAATGTCGGCCTGCCGGTGCTGGTGGGCTCTCCGACAGGCGCCGTCTTTATGGCCGACTCGCCGGCGCGGGGAGGCCCGCCGGCAGAGGCCGCCTCGCCGCCACCGAGCCCCCCGCAGCCCGCAGAGGCCCTCCCGATTACCATGGACACGGCGTCTCCGAGGGGTGCAACAGATCCTACCTGCTGGGTGGAAGACGGGGTGGGATGGCGAATCGTGCGCAACTTCGCGGCTGAGCACGACCGACACGCGACGCTCGACAAACTGATGGCATATGCGCGGGAGGAGGCACCACAGGCCGACGACCTCGACGGACCGGAGAGGCTCGCCGGAATCGAGAACCCGTCGGGGAGGAAGCTGCTACGATTTGTGGGGAGGCGGGATCTCGCGGACCTAGCGGAAGCGATGGTCAAGGAGGTGCTACCTCACGTCGATCGCGAGGGCATGCAGGTCGGCATGAAGGCAGCGGCAGAAAGGGAGCGGGTCGGGTGGGGGTTGCATGGGTTGCATGAGGGGCGCACGACACTGGGATGTTTTGTACAATTCGACGCGAAGGGAAAAAAGAAAGAAAGAAAACAGACAACCCAAGGGAGGGGTGAGAGCACTTGGCATGGAGAGGATTTACAATTCTTTTTCGCGCGACCCAACCTACTACCCGGGTATGGTCCGACACATCTAAAGTGAAAGGGCGGGGTAGTGGAGAAGTACTCTTGAGGGAAACATTGGACCGTCAGGCCCCGGGGACTGGCCAGCCCGACTAACACAAGTCCTGAGCGGCCGTCTCGGAACAGAAACTTCCCTGCCTCCTTAGCCATGTTGCGGTGCCCTCGCGCCATCTGGTCCACGCACTGCTCGCAAGTAAAGCGTCTTCACAGGTCGGCAGATACGCCTCACCTTCGAAAGGGTGGCTGCCTACCCCAAAGCCCGCAGCCCGGGGCATCGATTTCTCTTGACGATTTTACTTTAAAACGCTGGTTCAAATGGGATTTTCTCTATATAAGTCGGAGGAGAGGCAGCGTGCGGCTCCGTGGACTCGGCCATCTCCCGCGGGTGAGAGGGCGAGAGGACGCATGCCCGCCCTCTGAGGCGGCCGTCGCCTCCGAGTCGGGGGAGGCAAACACACAACCATCCTCGCGGGTGTGGGCGGCCTTCTCGGCCCGCTATACTAACCCTAAGTCGGCCCTTCCTCGTGGTCGGCTTCGAAGGCCCAACAGCCCTAGCCGGAGCTAAGGGGCCCGGCTTTTTCGGCGCCAACCCTAGGGGAAATCGCTCCGGAATAGGGTTCCCGGCACCATCGGGCGGCGCCACACGGATGGAGGGAGTCGGGTCTGCCATCGGCGGGCCGTGAGGGCGCTGAGAACTCAAGGCTGAGTTTTCGCTCCACTTTCGATGTGGCGGAGTACTCGTCCGCGCTAATGGTTGCCCAGGTTACTCAGGACACGATCCCGGCGTGAACACAACTAACTGACGTATTTGCTCCCGACAGTGGCATGCACCGCGCTGCGGCGCGTGCGACAGTCTTTGTTTGAAGCAAAAAGTCGAATCAGAGCGGTGTCGGCGTTGTCCTGAGTTTTCTCCCCCGGACCGCCCGTCCTCACCGCTCCGGGACGCACACCGGCGAAGCACCATCAAGCTGCTGTACATCCCCGGCATCGCCTCCCCTGGCTTAGCTAGACTGAGAGATATTGTGCACATGGTTGGTCTCTACAATATATACACTGACACTTCACCTCCCAGAGCTCGTCCCGGTCCGCCACGGCCATCCTCGGCCTCCCAGCGGGCCCCCGGCCGCGGTGCGCGGTGCGGCGGCGTCACAAATCCGACCACAGAGTACCGGGACGCGGTCGGGCGATCTGAGGCCCAACTAGGCGTATGCATTGCCTATCCAGGGCTATCACCTGGACCCATCAACAGGCGCCTGCGGCGCCGTGCTCAGGAGCTGCTGCTCCAACCTGTTCACACTTTCGTACGGCACAGTAAGTATGAGAAGAAATATCGGCCTTCACAGCCTTGTTATTGACAAGAAAATACGTCCTATGGCGCTATGCGCTGGTCTGTGAGAGGTTGAGGTGTTCACACAAAAACACAACCACGGGTGTGTGAGTGAGTATTCTTGATACGAAACCACGACGACACACACCAGTCGACTCGCATCGGTTGCCTCCATGAACGGCGGAGCTATTCTCGCGCCCACACCACACCTGGCTCCAACGTGGACACGCCCATAGCTGGGGACACTACTAGGTCACGCATGGCATCACAGAAGTTTTATCTCTGGGCCCCGAAAGGCATCTCTAGCAGTGTCGTTACACATGCCCCCTCCCCTCCTGGGCGCATGCGCCTCACGTCTCGCCAGAGCATAAGCCCTTGGCGTGTGGCGAGACGAGTTTTTCGCCATCGCCGCGAGCAGCAAACCGCCCGCCGCAAACAGCCGGAGGCCTCGCCGCGGCACTGGCTGCGCCGCGGTCCCGCACCCGTCGACGCAGCTCACACACACACACACACACACAACCACGGGACCCAAGACGCGTGAGGTGTTCACACAGCACTTACTCGGGTACCGGGTAGAAGCCAGCGATACATGAGCTTCGGCACGGGCTCCACATCGCTCGCCTGGAAGGTGGGTGGCCGTCTCAGCGTGAGAGCTCTCTTGTTCGACGCCCGCGTGCTCATGCGCCACCCTCACGAGCGCGCGCGGAAGGAGCAATCGAAGCCGGCGGCTCCGATCATCGAGCCCGACGTCCTTCGCGCTGACACAATCTCTTCCATGCTAATATCTCAGCTGCGCGACCACTGCCGGCAGCAGGGGCTCAGCAATGTTGGCGACCGAGACGAGCTCGTCGGCAGGCTGACTGACTTCCTTGCCAAGGCTGCAGTCACCGTGGAGGCAACTGCCAGCGCCGGCGCCGCTTCACCGCGGGACAAGTACGCCGACAAACTCCGCTCGCGTGGAGCCGCGCAGCTCCTGCACCACGGCCGCGACGCCGACGCGGGCGGGCCGCTCCTCATGACCGAGTTTGGACGTGTCGAGAAGGAGCGCGAGAAGGCGGTGCGCCGGCACTCAGAGAGCGAGCGGCGAGCGCAGGTGGACACGGGCGGCTACGCCTTCCAGCCGGGCGCAAAGGACCTGCTCCACTACCTCGACATGAGGGGCATGCTCCGGCTGCTACTCCCGTCGGACGACGACGATGACGCGGCTCGGATGGAGGCGCAGGCGGCCTCGCTCGCCGAGTCGCTGCAGGTGCCCCCCTTCGCCACGTCGCTCGACCCGGCCGCGGCCGCACGAGCGCGGCGCGGCGAGGCGGAGGCGCTGGGCGAGGTGGCGGAGGCCCTCGACCTCACTCCCGGCTCGGTGGCGCCTCTGCGGCGGAGGTCCGGCGCCGCTGGGGTGCACCGCCATCCTCAGGCGGCACGGCGTGCCATAGGTGATGGTCGTGAGCGACCACTCGACTGTGGTCGCCGCGGCGAGGCGCGCGCGGATGCTCTCGTGCTACGTCGCGAAGCCGATCGAGGGGCGGCCGCGGCGGCTGCCGGCAGACTTTTGTGTGGACGAGCTCTCCTTGACGAGAGGCTGCATCGAGGAGTGCAACGGGGCAACTTTTCGAGACGGCAACACGGAGATCATATCGAGGTACGTTGGCGGTGACTGAGTGAGTGTTTGTAGAGTTCGTGCACGGGCTGGTGGAACGGTTGGCGAGTAAAGTGAGACGAGAGAAGTGAGCTTCTCCACGAGGGTAGACCTATAGTCTATAGAACGAAGTCGAAAAAGAAAAGTCCCACACACTCAACAAAATCTGAGGGCGAAGAACAGAGCACAGAGGTTCTAGCATCTAGGTGAGTCGAAGCATAGACTAACCATAGATGCAAGATGGAGGGAGAGAGAGAGAGAGAGAGAGTACATGGAGAGAGAGTACATGATGGAAGAGAGAGTACATAGCCGCCCGAGAAAATCGCCGCGTCTTCCGCCCAGCTCGCGCGTAATTCACACCGAGACTCGCTACCCGGTACCGCGAAGTGCCGAACTTAAGGTAAGGTAGCTTGAGTTAGGGAGCTCTTTTCCTCTTGCCAAACTCCTGTTCTAATGTGCCTAACTCCTGCTACCCACCTCTCGGTCCCGCCGGACCGGCACACGGGCCCCGCGGACGTCGGTGGCGGCGCCGAGGAGAGCTGCAGAGTCGGCGCACCAAACGCGAGGGTCAGCTGCGTCTTGGGCATTGGCTTGGGGTAGACTAGGCTCGTCCCCGCTAGGGTGAGCAGCAGCAGCATGCACACCAGCGGATAGGCGGCGGGGACACGTCAGCGCGTCAGCCCGTTCGGACCAAAAAAGAAATCAATGGCTCGCGCCATGCTGCTACCCCGTGCCTAACTGCTGCTACCCCGTGCCTAACTCAGTGCAAAGCACCTAACCTAACTCAAGCTACCTTACCTTAAGTTCGGCACTTCGCGGTAGGTACGCAACGCGGCCAAAGGAAGTCCACGTCGAGAAGCTCGAGACACAACAGTGCCGGCATGCACCGCACTTGAGACGGCCGAATGCTGTAGTGGTCATGCGGCTGCTCCCCACGAGGCGACTCTGCACTGCCTCCGTCCGCGTGGCCGACGTGACTGTCAAGGTCTCGGCTGCCAAGACGCCACACCTCGTGCCGCACGCCTTTGCTGCAGCCGGCTCTCCCGCACCTCCGCAGCACCTCCGGTGGATGGCGCAGAAGGAGGCGCTCGGGCAGGACGTGTTGCTCATCGGGCCTCCGGGTGGCCAGAAGCGGCAGCTGGCACTGCGCTGGGCGGAGGTTGCGGGCCGCGAGGTGGAGAGCCTCGCGCTCTCGTCCGACACCACCGAGGCCGACCTCAAGCAGCGGCGGCAGGTGCTGGACGGCAACGTCTACTATGTAGACGCGGCGCCCGTTCGGGCCGCCATTGCCGGGAGGCTGCTGCTGCTCGACGGCGTCGAAAAGGCGGAGCGCAACGTGCTGCCCACGCTCAACAACCTGCTCGAGAACCGGGAGATGGGCCTCCCCGACGGTCGCTTCCTCATGTCGCCAGCGCGCTTCGACGCGCTCCTCGCGAGCGGCGACCACACGCACGCCTCTCTCGCCGCTCGAGGCTACGTGCGCGTCCACCACGACTTTCGCGTCATCGCCACCGGGCTGCCCGTCCCTGCCTTTGCCGGCTTCCCGCTCGACCCGCCGCTGCGCTCTCGCTTCCAAGGCCTCTTCTGCGGAGTGCCGCCGCCCGCGCTGCAGCTCGCCTCGGTGCGCGCGCTGCTCTCGTCGAGCCGCGAGGCGGCGCCGCGGGGTGCGGCGCAGAGCCTTGTGAGCTGGGCAGAGGCGGTGCGGGCGGCGGCGAGAGGGAGCGGTGGCGGGCAGGCGGAAGGAAGGCTCCTCCACCTCAGCGACTGCTCCTTGCGGCGGGCGGCCAGAGTCCTCGCTTCCTTCCCGGCGCACTATGACTGCGGCGGCGGCGACGCACTGCCACCCCTCCTCCACCGCAGCTTTCCACACCGGCTGATGGGGCTCGAGGCGCCGGAGGCGGCGGGCGTGGCGGCGGCGTTCGAGGCTGCCGGCATGCCGCCGCCATCCCAGTTGCAGGGCCAAAGGCGGCCTGCCAGTGTCGTGGAGCCGGACGGCGCGGTCGTCGAGGGCGTCATCGCGGGGCAGGGCGTCACGGCGAGGGTCAGGCTCGGGTGCACGCGCGGCGTCGAGGTCCCTGTCGGTGCTCTGCACGGCACGGCGAGCGGCGGGGCGGTCGGCGGCGGCGAGGCGTGGGTGGAGACGCCGGCGCTGCGCGCTTGCCTGCTTGCGATGGCGGAGGACCACGCCAGCGGGGCGCACCTCTGCCTCGTTGGCGCCGCCGGGGGAGGGAAGAGCGCTTTGGCGCACCGGTTCGGCGCGGCGTTCGGCTACCGCGTGCGGACGGTGCCGCTGTACCGCGACCTCACCTCGCACGACCTGCTGCAGCGGAGAACCCTCGACACGGCGGGCAACACCGGCTGGCGCGACTCGCCGCTCGTCGAGGCGGCGCTCGCGGGCGACCTCTGCGTCCTCGACGGCATCCACCGGCTGCGACCCGACGGGCTCGCCTCGCTGCACCAGCTGCTGCTCGACGGCGAGGCGACGCTGCACGACGGCACTCGCCTCCTTCGCGCCGGCCACTTCGACGCGCTGCGGGAGCGGCTCGGCCTCACCGCGCAGCAGCTCGCCGACAGCTGCTCGGTCCGCCGAGTCCACCCATCCTTCCGCGTCGTCGCGCTCGCCCAGCCTCCGAGCCCGACCGACCGCTGGCTCTCGTCGGACTTGCTCCCTCTCTTCGCGTGGCACGAGCTCCCGCCGATCGGCGAGGGCGAGATGGCCGACTGGCTCGCCGCGCTGTGCCCGGCGCTGCAACCGGCGGCGCGGGAGGCTCTGCTCTGCATCGCTGACGCCCTCGACACGTCCGTTCCCGGCGGGGACGCCCTCGACTCATATTCTGGCGCTCCCCCGGGTGGGCTCTCCCTCTCGCCTCGGCAGCTCAAGCGAGTGGCGCGCCGCGCGGCGGCGGCGGGCGACGGTGGCGCCGCCGGCGCCGAGCTTGCCGCCGCCCAGCTTCTCGCAGTGCAGCACGGTGTGCGCCGGTCTCTCTGCGCCGGACTGATGAGCCCCGCCCTGATCGCGGACTTTGAGGCGCGCGTGGCGCGGGCGCTGCAGCCGGTGGTCGCGGCGTTGGGCATTGAGGAGCAGTGCGCGGCGGTGGCGGCGCTCGATGCGGCGAGAGAGGTGCGCGTCTGCGAGCTTAGCGGCGACGGCGGCAAGCGCAGCATCGCGATCGGGCGGGCGAGGCTGCCGCTTCCCGACTCCGTCTCTCAGCCCGAGCTGGTGCCGGACCCCGCCTTTCACGACAACCCGACGCACCTCCGCCTCCTCGAGGACCTCGCCGCCGACCTCGTCGCCGGCGAGCGCGCGGTGCTGCTCATCGGCAACCAAGGGACGGGCAAGAACAAGCTCGCCGACCGGCTGCTGCAACTGCTGCGGCTCGAGCGCCAGTACATGCAGCTGCACCGCGACTCGACCGTCCAGTCCCTCACCGTCGAGGCGGAGCTCGTCGGCGGCGCCGTCGAGTGGCGGGACAGCCCCCTGGTGCTCGCGCTGCGGCACGGCCACGTGCTGATGCTGGATGAGGCTGACAAAGCGCCGCTCGAGGTGGTGGCCGTGCTCAAGTCGCTGCTCGCGGATGGCCAAATGCTGCTCTCAGATGGGCGGCGCGTCCTCTCGCCCGAGGCGGCGGCCGCCGAGGGGAGCTTGCTGAGGGAGGAGGACGTGATCATCCACGACCGGTTCCGCGTCCTCACCCTCGCCAACCGGCCCGGCTTCCCCTTCCTCGGCAACGACTTCTTCAGAGAGTGCGGCACCGTCTTCGCGGCGCACGTGGTGGACAACCCGGACGCCGCGTCGCAACTCGAGCTGATGGCGCCCTTCGGCACCAGCGTGCCGCCCCACGTCCACCGGCGTATCGTCGGCGCCTTTGACGAGCTCCGCTGCCTCGTGCGCGACGGGCTCTTGGCGTACCCCTTCTCGGTGCGGGAACAGGTGTCCGTCATCAAACATCTGCAAGCCTTCCCGCAGGACTCGGTCGGGCAGGCGCTGGGCAACGTCGCCAGTTTCGACGCGATGGACCCCGTCGCCACCGAGCAGCTGCGCTCCGCCTTCGCGCGGCAGGGCATCGCCCTCGACGCCGCGGGCGGGGCGGCGCCGGCGCTGACGGTCGAGCTGGCGAGGGAGGTCGTCCTGCCCGCCGCACAGCCGGTGGACGGACGTCGCGACTCGGCGGCGCCGCTGGCGTGTGAGGTGACGTCGCACGAGCTCAAGGCCCGGAACGTGAGCTACCAGTTCGCGCCGTCGGACCAGCGTGTGCGCCCCCTCGGCAGCGCCGTGGAGGCGGTCGAGGGCCGCGCCGGAGCAGCCTTCTCGGAGGAGGTGCGCGAGCTCCAGCTCTTGGGGGGCGAGGAGGAGGGTGCGCCGCATTGCGTCGCGTGCCTCGCGCGAGGAGGCGCCATCCACGTCCTCGCCTCTGGGCCGGCGGCGCTCCACTCGCTGCCCGCCTCCGTGGCGCGCGAGCGGCGCGCGGCAGACGGAGGTGAGTCCGTCTCGACGCTGGAGCTGGCGAGCAAGACGGGCAGCCTCGACGTCATGCTCGCCGAGGGCGTCGAGGCGGACGAGGCCTTGCTCCACCCTGCCGGCAGCGGCGCGATCTATCGCCTGCGGCCGCCCAACCGCGCCGACGACACGCACGGCGCCGCCATCGGCGCCGCCTCCTTTGTCGAGCTCCCCGAGAGCTTCCACGGCGGAGCGGTGCACCCGGTGCCGTGGACCGGCGCCCTCCTCCGCCGACAGCGCGGCCGCCGTCCGCACGCGCTGCTCGCCGCGGGCGCTGATACCGCGGCGGGCTGCCTGCTGGCGATGCGCCGCGGCGAGGCTTCGGTGCTCGCGGTGCGCCTCGCGCGGTGGGGCGAGCAGGGCGGGGCTGCTGCGGGCACCGCTTACTCGATCGCTCTGCCGGCAGAGCTGGCGCAGCGCGGAGCGGTCGTCGCGGGGGGGCGCGTCCTCGGCCCGTGTGGTGAGGTGGGAGGCCCCGCCGGCCTGCTGCTCCAGCTGCGGCTCATGGGCAGCGCGGAGGAGGGCGCGGCGAGCGGCGCGCACAGCACGGCGCACCTCTGCGCGCTGCAGCTCGCCGGTTGTATCGACGCGACGCCCCGTGCGTGGCTCTTTGAGCTCGACCCAGCCTCTCCTCTCGCCTCTGACGCCGAGGCGGACTGCCACATCGCCGCCGCCGTGCCGCTTCCGGGCGGCGAGGAGAGCGCCGCGATTGTCTGCCCGAGGCCAGGCAAGGACGCGCTCCTCTCGGTCCAGCAGCTGCCGCGGGTCACCTTCTCGTCGAGCGGCGCGCCTCCCACTCTCGCCCTCCGCGGTGGCTGGCGCTGGGAAGACGCCGACGCGCGGGCGGCGCAACAGCAGGTGCTCTACGAGAAAGCGATAGACCGGTCCGCGCCGAGCTTGCGTCAAGCGGCAGGCGAGGCCACCGCGACGGCGTGGCTGCGCCACTCCCAGACGTCGGCTTGCGCCATGCGCGACGCGGCCGGCGGCGTCTGGGTCGAGCTCTGCGATTTGCTCTCGGGGCGTGCCCGCCGGGTGGAGCTCCGGCCGAGGAGTGGTGACAGCGATCCAGCCCGCGCCGCACGGGTCGTGTCGATGACGGAGCTGGAGGACGGCGAGCTGCTGGTGCTGCAGGCGAGCGGGGCGATGCGCGTCTTGCAGGTCCGCGCTGAGAGCGTCGACGAGTCGCTCGCGGCGTGGGTGGAGACGCACGGCAGCGTGGAGGAGGTCGGCGGTGAGGTTAGCGGCGGAAGTGAGAGGGGAGATGGTGGCGATGGTGGCGGCGAAGGTGGCGGAGAAGGTGGTGAGGGTGGTGAAGGTGGCCACGGTGGCGGCAGTGGCAGTGGCAGTGGTGAGGAGGGGCGCGCGCC